AGTGCTGCCCTCCCCTGGCTTTGCAATGGGGGAGGGGAGGGGGGCTGGACTGCAATTCCCCCCCTCCACCGCCCCACTTTGCAGTAGGGGGCAAGGGGGTGGAAAGGAGCGGGGGGGGAGAGGTTACTTGAGGAGGGAACCGGTAGGGAAGTCCGTCACCCCCCCCTTGTGAAGCAGGCGTCAAGCTTGGAAAAGTTACTTTTGTTTCAGTGCCATTTTGGGGATTATGGGATATGTAGTCCAGAAACCCATTCCTTTGAAAAAAGGGAAGTGGACGTCTCCCTGGACCTTATTTGAGGGGGGGAGGCTGAAGGGTGACCATTGGGGGGGGGAGAAGAGAACCAGAACCGGCTGCTTTTTCCCACCGTGTGCTAAAAAGGACAACACCCAGAAGTTCAACTGGCGAAGCCATTTTCCCAGCACAGCGACGGAATGAGGGGAGCCAGAGCTGAGAAGAGAGATGATGATGATGATGACAGCAATTATGAGTAGTCTTTCGATTATGGGCTGCCGCCTTCTCCAAGACGCGGCAGAGAAACCTAATTTTGCATAAGGCTACTTTCATCTGTTGGACCTGCGGCTGTAAGAGCCAGGAGCCTTTTCCTTGGGGCTTCAGAGAATTCAGCCACTGCATGGCTGGCAGGCAGAAGGTTCAGCAGGTGCTGCCGCCGCCGCCTTGTCATGGGAGATATCTTGAATGCGGTTTGCCTAACAACCTGTTGAATTTCTGTCTGTTATCTGGGAAAGAGCGGGGGAACGTTGCAGAGGAAGAATGAAGAGGTAGCAAGACATGGCAATGTGGGGGGAGGGATGGAGGGAGGGGAGTCCCTTGGAGGGAGTTCTCTCCATGGGGAACGGGGAGAGGGAGGAGCTGACCTCAGGCGTCTTTTTTGCAGGGGGTGGCAGTGGCATTGGCCGTGCCATCTGTGTGCGTCTGGCTCAGGAAGGCGCCGTGGTGGCTATAGCAGACTGCGATGAAGTCGGGGCAGCCAAGACCTTGCAGGGGCTCCCCCCTGGGGATCACGAGGCCCTGCCAGTTGACGTGGGGTGTGCCAAGAGCGTGGGTGACCTCGTGGCCCGGATCCAGGTGGGTCTACGGCAGACATTCCCCCCCTTTTGCACGTGTGTGCAAGGGCGGACGCTTTGAAGCACCTGCCGTCTACCGGCGTCCTTCTCTTACGTTATTCGTTCATCTCTTCCAAAGGAGAGACTCTAAAGGGACACGCCAGCTTTATTTATTTAAAACATTTACATGTTACCTTTTTTAACTGGCCCAAGGTGGCTGATAATCTTAAAACAGATCAACTTTAAATTAAAAGCTCATTACACTATTTTGGGGTGTCTGTGTGTGTGAGGAATTAAACAGATGTCCAATTTAAAAAGCAGTGGATAACAGCAGTTTAAAGCCATTCCAAAATGCACAGGGGGAAAAATAACTGTACTTCTGCAGCAGGATTAAATCAAAAGCCCAGTTCATTTTTTAAAAAAATTGAATGTCTAAGGAAATTACATCTCTTATCTTGTATCGAATCTCAATTTTCAGTGTTCCGTTGCCCCCAAAATATATTTTCTTCTGCCAGATTTTACAACGAGAGGGGAATATCCATCTTTCACTCTCTCTGGCACGAAAGGAGGGGAGTGGCTTCTGAAACGCACCACCTCTGTACAAAACTTTACTTGTGTGTATGTGTTTGTGTGTGTGTGTGCGCGTGCGTGCGTGCGTGCGTGCGTGTGTGCTTTTAAAAAAAAAAAATTTCATCGGTATGCATGCTAGCTTGGCCATGAAAATGAGCTGGAATGTATTTAGCTTGATCGTGTGCCTTTCGTACATCAGGCTGAGTTGTGCTTCTCCGGCCCATTCGTTTACTCCCTTGATCTTCCTCCGGAGTCTGTCCACTGTTTCCTCTGTCCAAAACTGGGGTTTTGGACAGAGGAAACAGTGGAAACCAAGCTATCCCCTAAACTCCCCACCCCACCACATCCTTCTAACCAGCCCTCGTTCTCTCCCAATTCCAGGCCCGCTTCTCTCGCCCGGCCACCGTCTGCGTCAACTGTGCCGGGATCACCATGGACGAATTCCTGCTCAAGCAGAGCGAGGAAGCCTTTGACGCTGTCCTCAGAGTGAATCTCAAGGTATTCCTCCCCCCACCCATCCCCCACAACCTGAGCATGGTTTGCAAGGGGCTGCATGTTGAAACATCCTTTCCTGGAGCAGAGACACACACCTCACCTCTCCTCCTAATTTTGCAGGGGACGTTCCTGGTGACGCAGGCTGTGGCCCGGGCGTTGGTGGCAAGCAACGCTCCTGGGGGCTCCATCATCAACATGGGCAGTGTCGTTGGGAAGGTGCAGTGACCTCCCCCCCCAAAAAAAAACCCTTTCCAGCTTATATCTGGGGCGGGATCCTCTCTCTCCTGCCTCCGAACAGCTCCGGAGCCCTGCCACCTTTTAAGGGCTGGGCTCACTTTGCCTCCCCCACACCTCCTTTCCTCTCTTCTTCCCTGGCCAGGTGGGGAATTTGGGCCAGGTGAACTACGCAGCATCCAAGGCTGGGGTGGAGGCGCTCTCCAAGACCGCGGCCAAGGAACTGGCCAGGTAAGCCCCAGGAGGAGAGGAGAAGGGCTGCGGCTTAGGGGGTCGTGTCGCTGCTCAGCATGCCTTAAAACTCAGAACCCTGGAGCAGCGCGGAAGGGAAGGGCTCCTCCTCGTAGTCCTGGAACGTCACTGCCAATCAGAGCTCTTGATGTGTGCGCTTGCTTTCCTCTTCCCTCCTCCTCGCTCCTCCCTTTGATGTCATGCCTAAGATGATCTAAAACGGTCTTCCTGAACCCCACCTTTGGAACCGGGGAAGCCATTTTCTGCCAAGTCCGAGACCCTTGGATGAAAGTGGTGGCTCTCCAGGGTTTCTGCTGGATCCTTTCCCAGTCCTCCTCAAGGATGTCATGGGGGGCCCCGAACCTATGGGGAGCACTCTCAGGCCACAGTCATGCTCTCCCAAGGAGCAGCCCCCCCCAACACACATACCGGTGTGGGGCTGAAGAGGAGGGTCCAGTGTAGTTTTCTTTTTAAATGAATGCTGGGGTGCAGTGGCGCCAGGTGTGTCTCGGGCAAAGGCCGTTTCCTGTGTGACTCCCTATTTAAACTTCTGTGCGTTTGGGGGTGCTGAGGTAGGAAAGCGGCGCATGCAGGGACCATGTCACTTGAAACACTCACACACACACCCAATTCGTTGCACTGTAGGTACAACATCCGGTGCAATACCATCCTCCCGGGCTTCATCCGCTCCCCCATGACAGACAAGGTGCCCCAGAAAGTCCTGGATAAGGTCAGTACGCTTTGTCCGGTGGCGGGGGGGGGACACTGTAAAAGCCTCACCCTGTTGCTTCGGGGAAGGGATCCTGCCCTCAGTAAACGGGGCGCGCCTCCTCCTTGTGGGGAGGCCTCTGCGCAGCTTTCTCTTGGCATTTATTGACTTATGGGTGGACCTGCCTGCTGTTTCTGCCATTTAATGCTGATTTTTGATGTTCTGAACCCTCTTGCTGTTGCTTTCCCTCTCCCCCCCCCACACACCCCACCAGTTTGCAGCGATGGTGCCACTGGGACGGCTTGGGGAGCCCGAAGGTCAGAGGTTTTTCTCGTCAGATTATCTGGGGTTTGGGGAGGGGGGAGGAAATACCATCACAAGGCCAGCCTTGAAGGCACCAGATCTGATCCGTGTTGGGGGGGGGGATAAGCACGTCAGATGGGCAACCCCGGGAGGTATTGGGGAGCTTGAAGGTAGAAGCAGGAAAGAAACACCCCCCCCAAAAAAAAACATGGAGGTGAAAACATGCCTTTCAGAGTAGGGGATTTAGACAGGCAAAAGGGTTGACTCCCTTCTGAAGGAAGGAGGCAACTGCTGAACACTTTGGGGTGGGGGACAATGCAGAAGATAAGCTCTGAGCATGTGAAGAGGGTTTCCTTGTCTGTGGCGTGGGGGTAGGGGAACCTTCACGGAGAATTAAAACCATGCTTTTTATTAGCCTGAGGCGTCCTTGGTGGTGGGAGAAGGAGGGGAGACATCGCAGGTCAAAAGGGACTCGATCTCTGAAGCGACTCCATGAGCCCGACATTGGCTGAAATCTTGTTGACTAGGTTACAGAGGTTGACTCGATCTCTGAAGCGACTCCATGAGCCTGACGTTGGCTGAAATCCTGTTGACTACGTTACGGAAACAGCGTTCAGTGTTAAATGCAAAACTGCTGTTAAGCTAAGACATTTCCAAAAGGCACAGTCTGTCACACGCCAAGTCTCTCCACGCGTCCTGGCCACAGGCGATGTCTGCAGAGGCTTCTTGGCGGACGACAGTTCACTTCCCAAAGTTACGCCGCTGGCGTATCTGCTCAACAGGATTCCAGCCCATGAGTTGTGTGACGAGCGTGATAATAAAGA